ACTGCAGGTACAAGTGGCATAAATCAGATAGTTCTGCTCATATGTGACTGTTTTATAAATCTGCAGCCTGTTGCACTGTTTTCCCATGAGGCACTGAGCTCCTCTCTTCCTCTCTCCCTCTTTCTGCACACATTCATGCCCCATTAATGCATGTTACTAACTTCACATGTACCCACAACTCAGAATATAAGATAAATCAATTAAATAAGAAAAGTACAGCTGCCACAGTATTCTCATAAACGTCTACTGTTCTACTAAAAAGACTCTTATGACCTGAACTTCATAAAGTCTGACCACATGAACTTTGAACAGAGTTGATCAGAGTGGATCTGTGCTGTAAAAACACAAGATTGGACCATGTCTCAGACTGTCTACAGGCAGTACATAACAGACAGACAGATAATTTCAGAAGTCTCTAGCTCTGCTTTAATTACTCTTTTGTATTATTTTAATGTATTAAATTTATTGATTTGATTTATTAACTATTCTACCCCATACATTCCATTATCTCTGTTTTCCACCGTTTCATCTGTGTATTTGTCTAAATGTTTTCAAATAATTCAATGTAAAGCATTTTCATCATTGAAGATTCTATAAACTATCAACTTGTGCAAAGACATTTGACTTGAGCTTGTCGAAATAATTGAAATGTTTTTATAAAATATGTTGCGCTTGTTTTTCTGCTTTAATTCATTCATGTAAATATGTTATCCCACTTGTGACAGAGCCACACTTGTTTTTCTCTGTGGTGTTTGTGTTGGAGTCGTTCCTCTTGCTGACAGTTTTCATGTCGTCAGCGATATTTCAGTGTAGACAGAATGTTGATCCCGAGATTAAAGCCTGAACAAAAGAGAGCAGCAGCCGTCACAACAACAGCAGCTCATTGTTTGAGACGACAACACCGAGCCCATCCTCTATATGACAACAGCACGCCCACGGCAAACATCACAACCACAGAGGACCGGCACACAGACACATCAGTAGCTACTCACACACCAGGAAAACACAGAGATTCAACCTCCTCTCAGATCATTTCAGCATTGTTTTTTGCTGGTTCCATTTCACTGTCTGAGTTTTTATTCAGGATGTTTGGCAGGACTCTTTTGCTCATCTGTATTGCTGTTTTCTTCTGTGCAGGTAAGACTGAACGGGGCCAGAAGGCTGTACTACGAGGGAAGTGGAACCTGCTCAGATTTAACTTTGTCATTTTAGAGTTCATTTACAAGATTAAAGTGATAAATTAACAAGATAAATATCTCAAAAACTGACCCGTTAATGAAGGATTAAAGCAAGAGAGATTTGTGAGCCTCAAAAGTTAGTGTTGGTGTGAAATGACTTTGTATTCACATAATCCTCCTCTTGTTCTCCCAGAGGCACTAATGAGGATATGAGTACAGTCAATCACACCAATCACTCTCTTGATTCTTCTGGACATAAAGTGTTCTGTATATTGGTCTAGTCTATGGATATTAAACAGTATTTCTATTTTGTGAATTACTGCAACCATAAATAGCCTCTCTGATCTTTATAAGGATTAAATGGGAACAGAACAGATGCATGGTGGTCCTAGAAGGTCAGATACTGAACATCATCAGGGTAAACTAGAGGAGTTTTCCTGGAAGTTACACAAGACGTCACAGAGTTATTCCTGAAATTACCTGGATAAGACTGTTACCTGGCTTTGTACTACAGTCCTCTGGTGTATACTGGTGACTGTACACGTATTCTAACAGTAGCATTACATTCACACAGGGAGCCTTCAGTCTCGCTGATTTAGGGAGCAGATTTTAATTCAGACACCATGTCTGATTTCAGACAAAGAGCAGTTTTACATTCATATAATACTTCATTCAGTACATTGGAACCATAACCTCTGGAGAACTTTTCACACTCACTTTCTTCATTTAATCCCTGTTGGTTCATTTTTAACAGGTCAGTTTCTGAGATATTTTTATTGATAATTTACCACTTTAAAGTAAATGAACTGCAGTTGCATTTAATCAAATGACAAAGCAGAGTCAGTGAGAGAACAACAGAAAAGCTCTGACATGAACTCAGCATACAAGGAGTTCAATCTGACTGCAGTAACAAAGGCTGCTCATTGTCCTCAGAGTGAATCCATCAGTAATATAAGATTTTCATTGGACAGTCTTCTCTTTAATCACCGTCGTAGTACCACTTTAACAGCAGTGAAAACCCGGACTTTCATTAAATAACCACAAGGTAAATCTGAGCAGGTTCAACTCCCTCACAGGGTCAGGTTGTACAATTTCTAAACAGTGTATAAACAATGGCAGGTGTAAACAACATTAACATTAAATTATTTATATTTAAACATTATCAGATTGACAGTTAACTGTGTTAGCCTCCTAAAACTGAGCGTGATTTCCTGTTTACATAGTTGTCATTGGACAGCACTATGATGTTTCCTGGGAACACTTTTATACATAAAGTCTTAATTTCTTCACTTTTAATGGAGCAACCTGGTTTATTCAAAACATTTAAAATGTGTTAGTAACTGCCGAAAACTTTACAGTCCAGGTAACACTGTTAAGTCTAGGTAGGAGAGTCAAATGTACAAACAGCTAATAGAAGCTATAATTAACCTGATAAACTTTAATGTCTCTGTTTCAGACGCTGAGGATAAATCCAGGCTCTACAGGAGGGTAAGACTACTACTACTATCAACTGAGATCAATTCAATTCAACGTCATTATTTAGGGACATCAATCCAATGGGCTTTACAATTGAATAGTTCTGCACTGCATCAAGAAAAATATTAAAGTTGTTCCTTAATTTTTTTACACAAAAAGCAGGAAAGCTTCAGGAGGAAATGCTGACGTAAAACAATTGGTTGGATCGGATACATAAAACTTAATGTAGCCTGTAGCAAGCATTAAAATGCCTTTGGTTGTTGAGATTGGAGTAGGGCATCTCTATGATTAAGTAGTTTAACCAACTGCTGACTGATCCCCACAGGTTTATGATCAGTGTGGATTTAAGTGTAACGTGTTGTTGTTGTTGTTATTATTATTGCTGTTGTTGAAGCCCTCCTGTGTGGGGATGAGCGTGACTCAAGCATGTCCTCTGAACTACTCTCCGGTGTGTGGCAGTAATGGCATCACTTACCCCAACGAATGTTCTCTCTGTGTCCACAGACTGTGAGTCTTTAATTCTTCACTCTGGTAGTTCACATATTAATAATAACATATTGATTATCCCACCACTGATTAATGAAGTGAATTATTGAACTGAAAACTGTAAATATAAAGAAGACAGAATCTGCATCAATGTTAAAGGACCAGTGTGTACGATTTAGTGGCATCTAGAGGTGAAGTTGCAGATTGCTCACTGGACACCTCTTATGTCCGTATATGACGACTTGGGAATGAGAGCGGGCTATGTTATAATAGTATGTATAATAAACTACAGTAAAGTCTCTATCTAGATACAGTGTTTGGTTTGTCTGTGCTGGGCTACTGTAGAAACATGGTAGATAAAAGCATCTCATTCTAAAACAACGATTCTTATTTTCAACTGATTAATAAAAACATACCTATGGATGTTATATTAATGTTACACACTGGAGCTTTAAATGCAGGAACAGTTATTATAAGTGGAACCTTGTGATCAGTTATTGATTATTGATTGTGTTTGTTCAGGGAGAAAAATGCTGACATTTTGATTGTGAAGGATGGGCCCTGCTGAGGATGACATCATCATCTCACTTGTCCCTGACTGATGACATCATCAGACTCCTACGTAACCGATGACATCATCACAGGCATCTTTGACTTTTGTTTGAATGTAGCCGTTAGCGTGTAGCGCACACATACAAAAACATGCAAATACATAAACACACACTCATGACTGCAGCCATATAATTCCAACACACTTCTTTTATAATGCTGTGTTTTATATTTTCATATTTCTGTAAAGACATTTTTCATTGTAATCTTCCATCAATAAAGATTTCTGTTTGTGGCATAAATGTGTAATTCCCTGTTCAGTGAATCAAACCTGAACCCAGAGACCAGAATCTGAGAAATCACACTCAGTGTCATATTTTATTTAGTCACTTACAGTTTAACTGTCCATGAAAAATGTCACCAAGCACAACCATTACCTGAAAAGGGGGCTTCCCTCCCTAGAACACATTCAGATAACAACCAGGTGGTTTGAGGTGAATCTAATGCTAATTTAAATGATATTATTAAATATCAATATTGATTGTTTCTGTTCACCCAGACATTTGATATTAAAGGTAGTCAAACTGCTACATAAATTATTTCATGGTATTCTTGCTACATCATTTTGGTGGCCAAGTGTGAAGCATTTTAGTTATTGCTGCATATTTTGTCTTTTTAGGGTGTTAACCCCACAAAACATTGAACATAGGCATGAGTTATAACTTTAGGATAATATGGTTCCATTTGTTTAAACACTCCTTTTTTGCTACCTCCAATTGTCCATTTGGGAAACTTTGCATGAATTGATAAGTGTTTTCAATTGTCAACCCAAATGTCAGCAGGGACCACATCCCCTTCTGGGACATAGGTGCACTTTGCACTTTGTTCCCAGATGTCACCATTCAATGGGAGCTAAGAGTCAACCACATTGTCACATTTTTTTTACAATGGTAATGTCTAATTTCGTATTAAGATCATATTCATTATCATGGCTGCCACTTAGATACCTCTGGCTCATGTCTGTCAAGTGCCTTACACAGCCCCTTATTCATGTGCATGCATGTGTAGGGAGAATTACAGTAAACACAGTGCAAGTTTCTAGCAAAGCTGTGCTGCTTCCCGGTTTGGCCACCTGGTGGAGCCATCTTGCCCTGATTAATCTTCTGGAAGTGCAATAGTGTGTTTTATGTCACAACTAAATTTGGATAGCTGGGTAGCAAAGAAAGATTCATTTATTATTTTAATTATTTTATTTAATTTTGGTCATTTTGTTTTAATTTCGACAGGGACTGCAGAAGCAAAGACAGGAAAGTGGGAAGAGAGAGGTGATGACAGACTGGAATCCAACCTGGGTACATGAGGAGCAAGCTCTACCAGGTGAGCTACCAGGGCGCCAGATTTATTATTTAAAAAAGTTCCAATAAATAATAATCAAAAGGGACAGATGTCAAGTCTGTGTAATGTGCACATAAACAACTTTGAATTAACACAGATTTTAACTCATATAATCTGTTAGACAATTTGAATGTTGGCTGCTCAATACTTCATGCATGTCATGAAAAATTAAATGGACCTGTGTGACATTCTGTTAAAATAATTAGTTCATAATTTCAGTGTGAATTAAAGAGATACCTTCATTATTTCATATGCCTTTCAAGATGGCACCATCCTAGCGGGAGCCTGTTGTAGAAGCTCTGGGTATTACTGTCGTTTTTTGTGTTTTTAGTTGTTTTGTAGCTTGTTTTTTTATCTTTATTTGTACACTGCCCTGCATCTTCGCACCACATAATGTGGAGATGCTTTTTCAGTGGATTGGGAACTTTTTACTACTTTTTATTGCACTTGGGTCTCTCCGGATAACTGGGAGCCATGCCTGCAACACTGCTGGCATTGTTTACACCCACGACCAGCTGATTGCCCTGAGGCACCCAACCCTCTTGGCCGGAAAGAGACCCACCATACCAGAGGAGCTAAAGAGGAGACGGCAAGGCTGCAAAGTGGGGGTTAAACGGAGGATGAAGAAGAGAAAGTTTAAACTCTACATCCCTGCAGTCATCAGTGGAAACGTTCGCAAATAAAGTAGACGAACTGGAAGCGCTCACCAGGACACACAGGGAGTACAGGAAGTCTAGTATCATGTGTTTCACGGAAACGTGGCTACATGAGCAGATGCCGGACTCCAACGTTACCATTCCTGGCTTCCAGACGGCTCAAGCCGACAGGGACACCACCACGACTGGCAAGAAGAAAGGAGGGGGGCTCGGCGTGCTCGTAAACAACAGGTGGTGTAACCCCGGGCACGTTTCTGTGAAAGAGCGTGTCTGCAGCCCGGACGTCAAGCTTGTCGCAGTTGGACTACGTCCATATTATTTGCTGAGGGAAGTGTTTTCCAGTGTGTTTTCATCACTGTTTACATTCCTCCGTCTGGGAACGCAGAAGCAGCGTCATCCACACTGTGACTGAAGGACAGCAAACAAAACACCCTGGGGCCTTCATCATCATCACAGAGGACTTCAACCACGTTTCTCTCTCATCCACGCTCCCAAACTTCCACCAATTTGTCACATGCACCACCGGTGAAAATTCAATTCAATTCAATTCAATTTTATTTGTATAGCGCCAATTCATAACAGAAGTAACAGAAAATAAGACTTTGGACCTGCTGTACGCAAATGTTCAACTCTAACTCCCCCACCCCCAGCAGCCCCTCTAAAGGCTGTTATATACTCGCTGTTCCCGACCTGTCGCGTGACAATGTGATGTTAAAATCACGTAGATCTCACTGGCGCGCCAGGGTTTAGGCCGGGTCGTGCCAGGTCGCGCACCACTTTTTTTTTCAGCTGAGCGTGCCAAAGCATTATTAAGCATTAGTTAGGCATAAATAAATAATGAAATCATCATTTATAACGCATGAATACACATTAGTATGTAGTTTATAAACACAGTTAAAAATGTTTTATTCATCATTGATAAGCACATTAGTTATGGATTAGTAAATACTGAATTCATCATTTATAAAGCATGATTCTGCTGTAAATAGTCATTTCTATGTGGTTTATAATCACAGTTATAAATGTTTTAATCTTCATTGTACTGTACATTTCTGCATGCACTTGCACATCCACTATTCAGACATGTATTAATGATTAGTGACTGTGTTAGCAGATGTTCTATAAAAACTCACAACAAATTCATTTTCTAATAATGGCCTATACATTCAATTCAATTCAATTCAATTCAATTTTATTTGTATAGCGTCAATTCATAACAGAAGTTATCTCAGGACACTTTTCAAATAGAGCAGGTCTAGACCGAACTCTTTAAAACATTATTTACAGAGACCCAACAGTACCACCATGAGCAAGCACTTGGCGACAAGGGCAAGGAAAAACTGCCTGTTAAAAGGCAGGAACCTAGGACAGATCCTCCGGCTCTAGGTGAGTGGTCGTCTGTCTCGACCAGTTGGGGTGAGAGAGAGAGAGACAGAGAGAGAGAGAGCGAGAGACAGACGGACAGACAGACAGACAGGTGCACAGCAACAACAGTATTGGCAATGGCAATCTAGCAGGACCATGGCAGGAGGCTCCACCTGGATCGACAAGAACCTGCAAGACGAGAAAGCACAAGAACTCCGGGGAAAAAGTGAAGTTAGTAACATGCATTAATGGAACATGAATGAGTGCAGAAAGAGAGAGGAAGGGAGGAGCTCAGTGCACCATGCGAAATCCCCGGATAGTCTAGGCCTATAGCAGCATAACTAAGGGATGGTTCAGGACTCACCTGATCCAGCCCTAACTATAAGCTTTATCAAAGAGGAATGTCTTAAGCCTACTCTTGAATGTGGTGAGGGTGTCTGCCTCCCGAACCACAACTGGAAGCTGGTTCCACAGGAGAGGAGCTTGGTAACTGAAGGCTCTGGCTCCTGTTCTACTTTTAGAGACTATAGGAACCACAAGTAGCCCAGCATTCAGAGAATGTAGTGTTCTAGTGGGGTAATAGGGTACTATGAGCTCTTTAAGATGTGAAGGGGCCTGACCATGAAGAGCTTTATAGGTGAGGAGGAGGATTTTAAATTCTATTCTACATTTTACAGGGAGCCAATGCAGAGAAGCTAGTACAGGAGAGATGTGATCTCTTTTTCTAGTTCCTGTCAGTACTCGTGCTGCAGCGTTCTGAATTAATTGGAGCGTTTTAATGGACTTATTGGGGCAACCTGATAATGAAGAATTGCAGTAATCCAGCCTTGAAGTAACAAATGCATGGATTAGTTTTTCTGCATCTGTCTGTGATAGTATGTGTCTAATTTTTCTAATATTACGTAAATGAAAGAAGGCAGTCCTAGAGGTCTGCTTGATGTGGGAGTTAAATGACAAATCCTGATAAAAGATAACTCCAAGATTCCTGACAGTGGTGCTAGAGGCCAAGTTAATGCCATCTAGAGTAACTATATCTTTAGACAGTGAGTCTCTAAGGTTTTTGGGGCCAAGAACAAGAATTTCGTCTTTTTCTGAGTTTAACATGAGAAAATTGCAGGTCATCCAGGATTTTATGTCCTTAAGACATGTTTGTAATTTAGATAATTGATTAATTTCATCGGGCTTGATCGATAGATATAACTGCGTATCATCTGCATAACAGTGAAAGTTAATGGAGTGATTCCTAATAATGTTGCCTAAAGGGAGCATATATAAAGTAAATAGTATTGGTCCAAGTACAGAACCTTGTGGAACTCCATGACTAACTGTAGTATTTATTGAAGATTCATCGTTAACATGTACAAACTGCGAACGATCTGATAAATATGACTTAAACCAGCTTAGTGCGGTTCCTTTAATGCCAATTTGATGCTCAAGTCTCTGTAAAAGAATATTATGGTCAATGGTGTCAAATGCAGCACTAAGATCTAATAATACAAGTACAGAGACAAGTCCATTGTCAGAAGCAATCAGAAGGTCATTATTAACTTTAACCAGAGCTGTCTCTGTGCTGTGATGAACTCTAAATCCTGACTGAAAATCCTCAAATAAACTACTGTTATGTAGAAAGTCACACAACTCTTTGGTGACTACTTTCTCCAGAATCTTAGAGAGGAAGGGGAGGTTAGAAATCGGTCTATAGTTGGCTAAAACCCCTGGGTCAAGAGTGGGCTTTTTAAGAAGGGGTTTAATTACAGCTACTTTAAAGGACTGTGGTACATATCCTGATAATAAAGAAAGATTAATCATATCCAGTAAAGAAGTGCCAATTAAGGGAACAACTTCTTTAAGCAGCCTAGTTGGGATCAGGTCTAATAGACAGGTTGATGGCTTCGATGAAGAAATGATTGAAGTTAACTGATGAAGATCGATAGCTTAACTTAACTTTCTTAACTTTTATTTTCTTTTGTCTGTTCTTGTTTCTTCACTGTAACTCTGTGAAGTTTTGTCCTGTCTAACGAGGTTGTTTTCAGAGAGTTTTCATGCTTTTCTTCGTGTTGTTTTTATCATGCCGCTTCCACCGGGACACGCTGCCTTTGTTTACTCTGGAGAACAGCTGATCGCACTAATGCCGGCTGGCGTAGTGGCCAGACCAGCTGAAATACCACCTTAACTCTGGAGGAAAACACACCGAGGTTGCAGAGGAGGGAAACAACGTTGGGGGATGAAAGGAGGGTCGAGACGGGACAGGTTTATGGAGAGGAGAAGATTTAAGCGTTGTCTCCCCTCTGTTGTTATGGGAAACGTACGGTCCCTTAGCAACAAAATGGACGAGCTAACGGCGCTGACACGGAGCCACCCGGAGTACCGTGAGTGCGGTCTGATGTGTTTCACAGAGACATGGCTGCACAGGGACATTACGGACCAGATCGTCTCCGTTGATGGCTTCCACACCGTCCGGGCAGACCGGGATACCAGGAGTGGTAAGCGGAAAGGAGGGGGGCTTGCCATTCTAGTAAAGAGCAGATGGTGTAAGCCGGGGCATATCACCATTAAAGAACAGCTCTGTAGCCCGGATGTTGAATTGCTGGCCGTTGGACTTCGTCCATACCATCTGCCTAGAGAGATCCTGCACGTCATCATTGCAGTCCTGTACATCCCTCCCTCTGCAAACCCAACATCTGCCTGCAGCATCATACACACCACCATCTCCAAACTACAGACTCAACACCCCAGTGCCCTCATCATTATGTCGGGAGACTTTAACCACGTCACCATGGATAGAGTTCTGCCGACCTTCAAACAATACGTGAGCTGTCCTACAAGAGAGGAGAGGACCCTGGACCTGATGTATGCTAACATTAAGGATGCATACATCTCCTCTTCTCTCCTTCCTCTGGGCAGGTCAGATCACAACCTGGTTCACCTCAAACCCTGCTATGTGCCTCTGGTGAAGAGGAAGCCTACGACCACAAGGACTGTGAGGAGGTGGTCGGAGGAGGCTTATGAGACACTGCAGGCCTGCTTTGAAGTGACTGACTGGCCTGCACTCTGTGAGCCCCACGGGGAGGACATTGATGGGCTCACAGAGTGCATCACGGACTATATCAACTTCTGTGTGGACTGCAATGTCCCAGTTCAGACTGTAACCTGCTACGCCAACAATTAACCTTGGATCACTAAGGACACTAAGGCCATTCTGAATGAGAAGAAGAGGGCGTTCAGAGATGGCAACCGTGATGAGGTGAGGAGAGTGCAGGGGGTACTCCAAATCAAAATCAGGGAGGCAAAAGACAAGTATAGGAGAAAGCTGGAGAATAAACTCCAGCGAAACAACATGAGGGATGTGTGGAGTGGCATGAGAACCATCCCTGGGTTCCAGAAGACTGGTGGCATGGGGTTGGAGGGCCATGTCGACCGGGCCAATGAACTGAACCTATTTTTCAATAGGTTTGATACTGCGGCCCATCCCCCACAAGTCTCTGCTGCTGGCTACCCAACAACTGCCACTTTATCTCCCCCTACTCCTCCTCCTTACAGACCCCTTGTCTGCTCCTCACCACCTCAATTCACACCCACCTACTCCACCCCTCCCCCCTGCTCTACAACATGTCCTCCACAACCTGAGGACCTCACCCCTCCCCCCACTGTCACCTCTACAGTGCCCTTCACGCCTGACCTGGTGAGAAGACAGTTGAAAAGACTCCACTCCGGCAAAGCTGCAGGCCCTGATGGTGTACTTCCCAGGATGCTTACAGCCTGTGCCCCCCAGCTGTGTGGAGTACTTAGTCAAGTCTTCAGCCTGAGCACCTCCAGAGGGTCCCCGTGCTGTGGAAGACGTCCTGCCTCGTTCCTGTGCCAAAGACGCCGCGTCCCAGCAGCCCTAAGCACTACAGACCGGTGGCTCTGACGTCCCATATCATGAAGACACTGGAGAGACTCGTCCTGGAGCAGCTAAGGCCTATGGTCAGGCCCTTCACTGATCCACTGCAGTTCGCCTACCAGCCCCGCCTGGGAGTTGAGGGCAGCATCATCTACCTGCTGAACAGCGTCTACCCTCATCTGGATAAGCCAGCGAGCACTGTGAGAGTCATGTTCTTTGATTTCTCCAATGCTTTCAATACCATCCGTCCGGCTCTACTGGGTGAGAAGATGGCTGCGATGCAGGTGGAGGCCCCCATCGTGTCCTGGATTGTTGATTACCTGACGGGCAGACCACAGTACGTATGCCTACAGAACTGTGTGTCTGACAGGGTGGTCAGCAACACTGGGGCCCCACAGGGGACTGTCCTCTCTCCCTTCCTCTTCACCCTCTTCACCTCAGACTTCAACTATTGCACCGAGTCCTGCCACCTTCAGAAGTTTTCTGATGACTCAGCAATAGTTGGCTGCATAGATAATGGTGATGACAGTGAATACAGGACTGTGGTGGGCAGCTTTGTCACTTGGACTGAGCTGAACCATCTACAGCTCAATGTGACAAAGACGAAGGAGCTCATTGTGGATCTGAGGAGGGCAAAAACACCAGTGACCCCTGTTTCCATCCAGGGGGTACCTGTGGACACTGTGGAGGAGTATAAGTACCTGGGGGTGTACTTTAATAATAAGCTGGACTGGACTAGAAACACTGAGGCGGTCTACAAAAAGGGCCAAAGCTGACTCTTTTTCCTAAGGAGGCTGAGGTCCTTTAACATCTGCCGGACGATGCTGAGGATGTTCTATGAGTCTGTTGTGGCCAGTACGATCTTCTTCGCTGTTACATGCTGGGGCAGTGGGCTGAGGGTCACTGATAACAACAGACTAAACAAGCTGATCAGGGGGGCCGGTGATGTCGTAGGGGACGAGCTGGACACCCTGACGACCGTGGCAGAGAGGAGGATGCTGTCCAGGCTTCAGTCCATCTTGGACAATGTCTCTCACCCTCTCTACAACACACTGGCCCAGCAGAGGAGCACCTTCAGCAGAAGACTCCTCTCACCCAGATGCACCACAGAGCGCCACAGGAAATCATTCCTGCCTGTGGTCATCAATCTCTACAACGCCTCCCTCAGAGAGTCAGACACCCCCCCTCTGTAATTCTGAACTCAAAACGTAGACTATTATTCTTTTGCACTTTTGCACATTTAGTTACTGTACATTTGATCTTGTATATATATATAGTTATATATATATATATATTTATATTTTTTTGTGCTGAATGTTGTATATATATATATATATGTTGTTTGTATAATATGTTGTTTGTATATCTGGAGTGTTGTAACGAAAATAATTTCCCTCTGGGATTATTAAAGTATTTCTGATTCTGATTCTGATTGTTCCCTTTGTAGGTGGTGGTATCCAGGAAGTCCACTGACGTGGTGGACTTCAGTGTGATGGATGGGTTGTGATTATTCAAGGTAAGTACAAATTAGTCAAATTCTTCCATAGAGTGGGGCCAGACCCCCCAGATGTCATCCAGATATCTATAATAATGTAATGGCTTTTTGTTGCAGGCTGCCAGGGCGGAGGACTCCCATTCGGCCATGAAAATGTTGGCAATGTTGAAAATGTTCTTCTCAAGTCAGGGGCGCGGCTCTGCTGCTGACCCAGTGTCTCACCTGTCTGTCTCGTCTCCTGTCATTTTCATGTTTTATTGTTGTTTTAAGTGATCGAGCCCGCATTCTCTTTGTGGCAAAATGAAGCTCAGCGACGTCATGCTACTTTGGTTGGCTGTGTGCCTTCTCAGCAGTTTAATCGCAGAAGTATGGAGTTTACACGGAAAAGTTGGCATCCTCACTTACACGCGGGACCAGCTGCTGTCACTCAGGCACTCAATTAAACCGGGAGACTCTGGGCTGGAGCCACTGCTCAAGTACCCACAACTCAAAACAAGGGACTAAAATAAAGGAAAGAGGATCGAGAGGTGGAGTGAGAGAAAGACTAAGGAGGCGCGGCAGCAGACATCCTCTACCGGTAATAACATTTTCTAATGTTCGCTCTTTGAGCAACAAGATGAATGAACTGATCGCTAAAGTTCAATACGATAACGAGTTCCATCAGAGCAATCTCATCGTCTGTCTGTCTCTCTCTTTCTCGCTCTCTCACCCCAACTGGTTGAGACAGACGACCACCCACCTAGAGCCGGAGGATCTGTCCTAGGTTTCTGCCTTTTAACAGGCAGTTTTTCCTTGCCCTTGTCGCCAAGTGCTTGCTCATGGTGGTACTGTTGGGTCTCTGTAATTAATGTTTTAAAGAGTTCGGTCTAGACCTGCTCTATTTGAAAAGTGTCCTGAGATAACTTCTGTTATGAATTGGCGCTATACAAATAAAATTGATTTGAATTGAATTGAATTGAATTGAATCTTTTTTACTGAAAGCTGGTTGAAAGAGGAGATGTCAGACCCCAACTTGTCGGGTTACACAATTATTCGGGCTGACAGAGACAGTAATTCGTCACGGAAATCTATTGGCGGTGGCTTGTGTGTCTACATGGATGCACGCTGGGCTACCCAGTACACCATCCGGGAACGTGTGTGCACACATGACTATGAAATCCTGGTGGTCTCATTTCGTCCCTTCTACCTCCCGAGAGAGTTTGGCCAGATTACAATCATATTGGCCTATGTACCTGGGCCGGACTTCGTGGGAGCTGCGGCCAGGATAGCCGAGAGCTATAACATCGCCCTGTCCTGCGCAGTTAACCAACCCGTCCTGTTGCTCGGGGACTTTAACTCTTGTGACCTGTCCGATTATCTACCCACTTTACATCAATACGTCCGACCCGCCTGACACATACCCTGGATAAGTGCTATGGCAATATACCAGACGCCTATAAATCCACCTGTATGCCTGCCTTGGGGAAGTCTGACCACAATGTCATTCATCTATTTCCACGTTACAGGGCTAAACTGAGACGGGAAAAGACAGTGACTAAGGAAATAGAGACCTGGACTGAGGACTGTATGGAGGAGATGAGATGCAAGTTGGAGACCTCCGACTGGCTTTTTCTTAACTCATGTGACACTCCTCGTGAACTAATTGACACTTTTACATCCTATCTGTTGTTTAATGAAAGTAAAATCATTCGAACAAAAACTGTTAGAATATTTCCTAATAACAATTTATGGATGTCTAGTGATCTTAAGGAATGTATTTGTGAGAAAAAATGTGCTTTTAAAAATGGCTATATTGAGTTACTTAAGGAAAAAAGATGTGAACTAAGATCTAAACTGAGTAAAGCAAAAATAGAATACAAGGATAAAATTGAATATCACTATTTCTCAGGAAATCCCAAGAAAGCATGGGAAGGTTTAAATGTGATGATGGGCAGGGAAACTAAGCAGAAGCGTACCCCCTGTCACACCCCTCTCCATCTTTTGCATACGATCTAAATGTCTTTTTCAGTAGTTTTGACAAGAATGATTTCAGTGCTGAACGTGATAGTGCGTGCAGGTCCATTTTGGGATATGCCCCTATTACACTAAACAACATGAGATTGTAGCCGGCCTGTCTAGTATCAAGCCCAACTCGGCCCCGGGGCTAGATGGCCTCAGAGGTAGAGTTTTAAAAGAAAATGTTCATGCACTTAAAGGTATTATGTTGGAGTTATTTCAGTATTTGCTCAATTCTCTAAAAATGCCCAAATTATGGAAAATGTCTTATATCATGCCTCTCCCCAAAAGGCCTGGAGCTACCGAATTAAAAGATTTCAGGCCCATTGCTCTTACTTCTATCTTGGGAAAATGTTTTGAGAGAGTTATAAGCAGACAAATTACAGCGTCTGTTTCTAACAGCTTAGATCATCTCCAGTTTGCTTAATTTCAGAGGGGAACTGATGACGCAACTGTCAGTATGTTCCACACCCTGTCAAGGCAACTTCAAGTCCCATCCCACCTTGCTTGTTAATCGATTTCACTTCTGCTTTTAATAGCATGCAGATTCACATCCTGCTGCAGAGACTTATTGATATAGGAGTAAACGGTGGTATTATCCAGCTTGTTAGGGACTTTCTCTCTGACCGCCCTCAACAGGTTCTGGTCAATAATACTCGGTCCGACATCATTGTGCTTAATACTGGTGCCCCGCAGGGCACTATTTTATCCCCATTACTTTTCTCGATATACACAAACGAATTCCAATTAGATCTGGAAAAGTTTGGGTTAGGGTTAGGTCTTAGTAGATAACTACTCAGAGTCTCTCCCTATGTTGACCAACAACAACATAGTTTTGTGGGAGACAGAGGAAGTGCACTGGCCGACGCATGTCAGTCCCCAGACCATCGCCCACCTGCTGTCATGGGCCATATTAGAAGAGGAAAGAAGAAGGAATAGGGATGAGTGCAACATTAGACATTGGTCTAATGAGCATGTGTCTCCTCACAGGAAGGTTGTAGAGAGATCAAAGCAGGTTCAATCTGTTCATTTTTTCCTTCCGCTTCTTTGGGTGTCAGTCTCGACTTCCGGTGATAACCGGAAGTGGGCGTAATTCCGGAAATAGAGGTGAAAATCCTTGTATCTCGGCAAGCGTAGGTCGTAGAGACTCGGGGACAAGTGTTCCTGCGTGTTCAGAAGGGTCAGATTATGGCAGGGTTAGGGTTAGGGTTAGGGTTAGGGTTAGGGGTTAGGGTTAGGTTTGGGTTGGGGTTGGGGGCTCCACCTAAGTGGAGGCCCCCAAAGTGCACTCTCCACCCTGTGGATGGCCAGCTCTCCGTCCCCATCTTCTCTAAAGAGGTTTTATATACTCGTTCTATGAGTTATATTAGACTGGTTTCGCCTTTGTTATATGAAGTATTAAGTTTGGCAGTTTTTACATGTTTTTTTTTTTTGTTGTGTGGTTCCTTTAAATTTCCTCCATGTGCTTTGGTTAACCTGCTGTGTTCTCTCTCTTGTATGTCAGGTGGCGTTCGCTCGCGACGTTTCGTCCGCTTCTTGGGACTTCTTCAGGCGGCCATGACATACAGGTATTCTTTATTTCTTTTTTTCAGGTAGAGGTAAGTATCCCCTTATGGTGAGGTAAGTATTCCCTTTGGTTGAGGTAAGTATTCCCTTTAGTGGAGGTAAGTAATCCCTTTAGTGGAGGTGAGTATTTAGTTTAGTTGAGGTAAGTATCCCCTAACAATGAGCCCCTCTGGGGACATGTGGCTCCCTCAGAGGGCCGTGCCAAACTGAAAACAAAATGTCTGCTGCTCCCTTTTGTACTCATAGCCCCTCCCTTTCTGAAAGTTCGTGTTGCTCCTGGTGTCAATGTAGTGATTTTTTTATGTACCCTTCTTTCTCATGCCTTTTTCAATTAAAAATCCTTTTTCCCTGGCTCCAATTCTTTATCCTTTAACTTATATAGTGTTCATATCTATGATTTACACTTTCTCCATTGGGTATGTGTGCCTCCCTTTAATGGCTACACTTCATCCATAGTATTATCAATGCCTACTGTAGTTAGTGGCTTCATCCATTATATGGGTTATAAATGTCCTTCACTGAGGTTTGAATAAGTTAAGGCCAGTGTTTTGGGGTCAGGGTGGGGGGTTGAAATTGAGTCAGGCCTTGAATGTTAGGGTTAGGGCCACAAAAGGGGCTTAGTATAGGTCCAATTGGTTAGGGTTAGTTCAGAAATGTATGGGCTGGGGTTAGATGGGATAGAGTGTGGGACTTAGACTAGGTTTAGCTTAATATAGCTTAGTATGGATAGGAGCACTGACCATTGATCCACAGGAGGCCCTGGCTGGTTAGGTTTGGGTTGGGGTTGGGGGCTCCACCTAAGTGGAGGCCCCCAAAGTGCACTCTCCACCCTGTGGATGGCCAGCTCTCCGTCCCCATCTTCTCTAAAGAGGTTTTATATACTCGTTCTATGAGTTATATTAGACTGGTTTCGCCTTTGTTATATGAAGTATTAAGTTTGGCAGTTTTTACATGTTTTTGTTTTTTGTTGTGTGGTTCCTTTAAATTTCCTCCATGTGCTTTGGTTAACCTGCTGTGTTCTCTCTCTTGTATGTCAGGTGGCGTTCGCTCGCGACGTTTCGTCCGCTTCTTGGGACTTCTTCAGGCGGCCATGACATACAGGTATTCTTTATTTCTTTTTTTCAGGTAGAGGTAAGTATCCCCTTATGGTGAGGTAAGTATTCCCTTTGGTTGAGGTAAGTATTCCCTTTAGTGGAGGTAAGTAATCCCTTTAGTGGAGGTGAGTATTTAGTTTAGTTGAGGTAAGTATCCCCTAACAATGAGCCCCTCTGGGGACATGTGGCTCCCTCAGAGGGCCGTGCCAAACTGAAAACAAAATGTCTGCTGCTCCCTTTTGTACTCATAGCCCCTCCCTTTCTGAAAGTTCGTGTTGCTCCTGGTGTCAATGTAGTGATTTTTTTATGTACCCTTCTTTCTCATGCCTTTTTCAATTAAAAATCCTTTTTCCCTGGCTCCAATTCTTTATCCTTTAACTTATATAGTGTTCATATCTATGATTTACACTTTCTCCATTGGGTATGTGTGCCTCCCTTTAATGGCTACACTTCATCCATAGTATTATCAATGCCTACTGTAGTTAGTGGCTTCATCCATTATATGGGTTATAAATGTCCTTCACTGAGGTTTGAATAAGTTAAGGCCAGTGTTTTGGGGTCAGGGTGGGGGGTTGAAATTGAGTCAGGCCTTGAATGTTAGGGTTAGGGCCACAAAAGGGGCTTAGTATAGGTCCAATTGGTTAGGGTTAGTTCAGAAATGTATGGGCTGGGGTTAGATGGGATAGAGTGTGGGACTTAGACTAGGTTTAGCTTAATATAGCTTAGTATGGATAGGAGCACTGACCATTGATCCACAGGAGGCCCTGGCTGGTTAGGTTTGGGTTGGGGTTGGGGGCTCCACCTAAGTGGAGGCCCCCAAAGTGCACTCTCCACCCTGTGGATGGCCAGCTCTCCGTCCCCATCTTCTCTAAAGAGGTTTTATATACTCGTTCTATGAGTTATATTAGACTGGTTTCGCCTTTGTTATATGAAGTATTAAGTTTGGCAGTTTTTACATGTTTTTGTTTTTTGTTGTGTGGTTCCTTTAAATTTCCTCCATGTGCTTTGGTTAACCTGCTGTGTTCTCTCTCTTGTATGTCAGGTGGCGTTCGCTCGCGACGTTTCGTCCGCTTCTTGGGACTTCTTCAGGCGGCCATGACATACAGGTATTCTTTATTTCTTTTTTTCAGGTAGAGGTAAGTATCCCCTTATGGTGAGGTAAGTATTCCCTTTGGTTGAGGTAAGTATTCCCTTTAGTGGAGGTAAGTAATCCCTTTAGTGGAGGTGAGTATTTAGTTTAGTTGAGGTAAGTATCCCCTAACAATGAGCCCCTCTGGGGACATGTGGCTCCCTCA